AAGGGTAACGTCTCAGATTATATTGAACCAGAGGATGCAGTTCCCACTCCACTCACATATGTAGTAGTTCCCCCTGTGCAAACAGGTGCATCTCACACTTTGCAGACAAACGCAGTTCACACTTCACAGACAGGTGTGTCGCACCCTTCACACACAGGGGTTAGTTCTGTGTCTGAGTAATATGTGTAATACAAAATATTCAATTCGGCTCCAAAACAAATGAACAAATCCAGCACTACAGCGATGAATTATCTGAACTCATTCAAGATTCAAGATTCCTTTATTGTCATTCCACAGTACACTGTAGTACGAAATTAGGGGCAAAGTTCTCAGCTTAAAATATAGCACGGAAACAATTAAAAACACAGTAGAAACAAGATAGTAGCTACATAAATAAAAATAAATAAAAATGCTTATATGGGTGTGTAGAGCATGTAGAGTGATAAATATAAATATACAACGTCTAAAAAATGGTAAAATATAAATGTCTAGATATATACAGTTGGGAGTATCAATATCCATATTTAAAATAGTGCAGTTGAGAATAAGGTGCAGTCAAACAAATAATTATGTACATGTAGTATTCACCTTGATTTGGTATGTTTTAGTGGGTTTTTGTGTTCAATAGTCTGACAGCAGTGGGGAAGAAGCTATTTTTGAACCTTGCAGTCCTTGTTCTCAAACTGACTACCTCCTGCCAGAGGGGAGGTGGGAAACAGTCTGTGGGCAGGGTGAGTGGGGTCCTTGATGATGCCCATTGCTCTTGATAGGCATCTTTTCAATATTCCGCTCAGCTATCCTCAACACTCTGCTCAGCGCCTTTCTTTTATCTACTTACCCTTGGTTCTATTCTCAGGAAATATAATATCCAATTTCACTACTACGCCGATGACACCCAGCTCTACTTGTCCACCAAACCTACGTCTCTGCTCCCTCCGTCTTCTCTAACTGACTGTCAACCACTTAATTCCTTCACGGACATGTCAACTAAATCTAACAGGAACTGCAAGTCTATTGAAATCACTAAAACCTTGTTTCTCTTAAAATGCACTGGAGCCGTCTTGTGAAGAGTATAGGCATCTTGCTTTATGAGCCAGTTTCTACGTCTGAATCTGCGCTCTAATAGTGTCAAATATGGCCTATTGTGCACGACTGTTACGCGCATGGCTGAAGTCCATGATCATCTCCACAGTTTTGAGCGTGTTAAGCTCCAGGTTTTTCTGACCAGACCAGAGAGCCAGCTGATCAACCTCACGTCTGTAGGCTGACTCATCACCGTCCCGGATGAGGCCGATGACCGTTGTGTTGTCAGCAGACTTCAGGAGTTTGACAGATGGGTCCAGCTAGTGTGCACATATTTTCAGGCAGAATGGAGATACACTGTCGGGGGCCAGGAGCCTTCCTGATCTTCTGCCTTTGGAAGAGGTGGCTCATGTCCTCTTCACAGATCTTGAGTGCAGGTGAGAGGTCAGAGAGGGGGGCTGGCAGTGTGTCAGAGGGGGAAGGTGACTTTTTGAAGATGGTGTTGGAGTGGGGGAGAGGTGTGACTGTGGGCTTTTCAAACCTACAATAGAAACCATTCAGCTCGTCTGCCAGTTTTTGAGTACCAGCAGTGTTGGGGGATGGTCTCCTGTTGTTAGTGAGTGTCTGCAGGCTTCTCCACACTGACGCAGGATCGCTGGCTGCAAAGCTGTTATTAGCTTTTCAGCATAGCTCCTCTTTGCAGCTTTGACCTCCTTAGTCAGAGTGTTCCTGGCCTGGTTGTACAGGGGAACAGAGCGATAGGCGTCCTTTAATGTAGTGTAGCAGTGGTCCAGTGTGTTAGTGTCCCTGGTGGAACCCTTAATATGTCTGTCTGTACTTTGGGAGTTTACGGCTGAGGTTTGCTCTGTTGAAGTCCACAAGAACAATGAGCAGGGAGTCTGGATCTTTATCTGGTCAGCCAGGTGTGGTAACGCCTCACTAACACAGGCCTGAGGTGGAATGTAAACAGTGACCAGAACAAACGAGGAAAAGTCCCGTGGTGAATAAAACGGTTTACAGTTTATGAATAATGTCTCTAAGTGAGGGCTGCATGATTTCTTCAACACTGTGACATCTGTGCACCAACCTTTGTTTATATAGAAACAGAGTCCGCCTCCCCGTGTTTTTCCCGTGGGCTCCCTTTCACGATCCGCACAGATGAGATAAAACCCCGGTAGGTGAAGAGCGCTGTCTGGGATTTGCTCGGTGAAACGGAGGGCAGCAGATCTGCAGAAGTCCGAGTTAGTTCTGTTGAGGAGCAGCAGTTCGTCCTTTTTATTGGCCAGAGAGCAGACATTCACCAGGTGAATTGAAGGGAGCGCAGTGCAAAAATCCCGCTGTCTCAGCTTAACCAGTGCACTTGCAAGTTTTTCCCTGCGCTATTTCTGGATGATTCCAAACAGAGCTGCCGCTCCTCCAACTAATAACTCCGGGATAGTTCCAGGGTCAATAAGGAGCGGTGGAATAGTATGAGCAGTTGAAAGTCCAATGTTTAAGAGCTCCTCTAGTAAATGTAATCAGAGAGGGACGGCAGAAAACAGCGTTAATTAACAAAAACACAAAAAGCACTACGGAGCGTATTCCAGAGGCGGCCGTCTGCGGCACCATCTTGACTTACAGTTAAAAACTATACATCTGTGATCAGATACAGCCATATCCGCTAAATCAACATTTGAAATTCTCACACCTAAGTAAAAACAAGTGGGACCACGATTATGTGTTTCACCATACACATTTTATTTAAAATTACAAGAATTTGTGATATTTTAAAACTCAGAAATACAACTATTGGTGGGGTCATTCATATGGATATTGAAATCACCACAAAGAACAACTTTGTCATAGTTTAAAAAAAGAGTCGATGAAAATTCAGGGAGTTCTATCAAAAAGCTGGCCGGAGGTTTTGGAGGATGATAAACAATAGTAAATATAATTGGGTTTAGACTTCTAAGCTTGAAATTCAAAACTTCAAAGATAAGAATTTCTCACAAGGTACTTTGTGAGCTGGAATGATAATGATGGGCCGTGTTGTTGAGAAAAGTCTGCGTCCCCTTTGGTTCGATGGCCTGAATCAAATCCAAGTCACTAATGCTGCATACAGAGCGACTACTGGGTCTGCACCATCTACCTAAACTCCATAATACAAGCTTACCTTTCTTCTCGGCCGCTACGCTCCTCCAACGAACGCCGCCTGGCTCTGCCATCCCTTCGCACAAAGAACCTCAGTCCCAGCTTTTCTCAACTGTGACACCACAATGGTGGAACAAGCTAAACACAGTCCATCATAACAGGGGCGTCCTCTCTAACTTCAAGAAGCTCCTGAAAATTCATCTCTTCCGAGAACACTATCACCTTTTAATTCTCTTGTATTGAAAGCACTTTTTTGTTAACACTTACTTCTTTCCTCAGGTGTTTACCCTATTGATGCCATACGTGGCATCATTAGCTCTTACTAGTATGTATTTCCAGTTGTAGATCTCATGCTGTATCGATGCTTTATTGATGCTTGTATGTTGTTCCTCAAATGTAAGTCGCTTTGGATAACAACATCTGCCAAATGAGTAAATGTAAATGGGAGCATTGGGATCAGAAGCAACAATAAGGGTCACAGCATCCTGATTCAAAGGCTGAGGCACTGGGTGTGTGTCTCTGTAAGAAACTGACTGCCAATAAGGACTGGAAGACTAAGGTCCTTATTACTTAATTTCTTACAGAGACACACACCCAGTGCCTCAGCCTTTGAATCAGGATGCTGTGATCCTCAGTATCAAAAGCTCCAGCAGCGCCAGAGCAGATCATTTACCTGCATCAAAAGACATCATTATGTCCTTGGAGATCTCAGGGATTGTGTTTCACAGGGATTGGACTGAGGAAAACTAGATTGGAATTTATCTAAAATGTTGTGTGCAGTCAAGGTTGCTGTTTGGCAACGACTTTCTCTAGAATGTGAGCTTAAAAGGCAGCTTAGATATAGGCCTATAGTTTTTGGGAGGGGATGGATCAAGATAATTTTTTTCAGAAGAGGCTGCACAATTGCATATTTAAAATTAGCTGGGAAAATTTTTTTTCAGGGAGTCATTTATGGTCAAGACCAAGCAGACCCCTAACCCAAACCTGACAAACCCAACTATATTTCTGATTGTGGGAGTTGGTTAAACCAAAGCCACAATCTCTCCCTAACCTTAACCAAGTGCTGAGTGCCTAAACATAAAAGACATTGAATCATAAATGGACAAAGTAGTTACAACGAACAGTTGTCTTTGTGATATTTATTCAAAGGAAAACAGAGTAAGAATTCAGCTGAAGGGCAGAGAGGTCCTACACCCAAGGGTGATTAGAGAGCCTGACCAAGAGAAACAGATGACCAAAACATTTAATACAAGAAAGTAAATGTGAAGTGTACGAGAAAAGCCTTTCTCAGCCTTGAGCCACAGTGGAAACTCCTTTTCTCAAAGGAAAGTAGTACGCATAAGACAAAACAACCTCACAGATGTGTCACATTATATTGAAACTTTGGTACAGTTAGAGGAAATAAGCAAAGTACATAAAGGTACTGAAATATATAGGATTATTAATTCCTCATTATTATTATTACAAAGTGCAACTTCACAACACAAGTAAAATAATGAAACAGAACAAACAGAAAATTCAACAATGAGAAATCCAGCATACAAATTCCCATCCTACACCTGAAATCCTTTCATATCTAGTTCTAGGCTGTGGTCTTAAAAAAAAAGTCTTTTAGTCTGAGGAGCTTTGAGTTCAACCATTGAACTTGTGTACCAATATCATTGTTCAAGGTTATTCTATTTTAATGTTACATTTACTATGTTCATAGATATTCTGATCTCCTTAAAATGAATGTGATAGCAAATAAAATCCACGGAGAAATCCATTTAATATATTCCAAAAGCATGTTTGTCAATAACAGAGCCTTAATGCTTTATTGTTGCTATCCTGTATGTGCATAATGATTTTTACATTTTGACAGCAGGACCCATTTTGCACATCTTCAAAAATCTAAAAATCACTCCTTTGATTTGAGGCAGTTTCAGGCCATAAACTAGAGGGTTATTGATGGGGGGAATAATCACACACTCTAAAGAGAAAACAACTATGATGATTGGATTCAGTCTCTCACCCTCTAATCGAGTCAGTGACATCTCACAGAAGACAGAAAACATATAGGTCACAAATGTCACTATGTGGGGCAGGCAGGTTTGTAACGCCTTTCCTCTGAATTCAGACGAGCTTCTCCTGCACACAAGCAGAATCCGTAGATAGGTGTACAGGACAAAGAACAGGGGGATGAAGAAGGTTATTATCAAAATAAACTGACCTGCTATGCTGTTCAGAGTTGTGTCCACACAGGAGAGCCGAACCACAGGCCAGTTAACACAGAAAAGCCTGTGCAGTTTATTTCCACACAAAGGCAATCGAACAGTAAGATAAACAAGGAAGCAAATAGCAGATGCAGGATAGAGCAGAGCAAAAATCAAAAGACGTCTCACCATCCTAAATGTCATTTTGCTGTGATAGTGTAAAGGCTGGCAAATAGCAACAAATCTATCATAGGCCATGATGCTGAGGATGGTTGGTTCGTATGATGCATAGGTGTAAATAAGATATATCTGAATGAAACAAGATGCTCGTGAGATCAAATGAGTGTCAGACAGAATGTCCATCAGGAACCTGGGGAAGAAGCCAGCTGAGCCGTACAGAGAGTTTAAACACAGACAGGAGATAAACATGTACATGGGTTGATGCAGAGACGTCTCCAGGCAGACTGTCAGAATAATGACAACGTTAGCAGAGATTATAGTCATGTAGATCAACAGACACAGACAGAAGAACAGATATCTGAGGGGCCCAGAGTCTGTAAACAGAGTCAGCTGAAAATACCCAGGAGTAAAGCTGTTATTGCTCATCATGTCTGCACAACAGCAGAACTGGAACAAGTGAGAGTGATGGAGGGAGAGAGCGGGAAAGGCCGATCGAAAGAGGACAAAAGGAAAAGCTCAAAATGGCCTGAATAAGATTTCCTATTGAACACTTATTTCAACAAGACACACAATAATCCTGCATGGATAGAAGTTGCACATTTCAACAATTTCACCCGATAATAGCAATATTAACAAATTTCAGGTAGTTCATACAGACAGGTTAAAAAAAAAAATACATAAAATAAAATTTCAGAGTCCCTGAATGCACAAGCAAATAAAAATTTCTCATTGAGCAATGTCTCAGTTATTGACAGAAGAAGAGATACATCCAGGTTATCAAGACTCACAGTCACTGACAGCATTGCAAATCCAATCAACCCATCTGAAAAGCTTTGACATTTGATGGAAGTTTTCCACTTGTATGTTCTATAGTAGCTGTAAAATAAGTACATATATCAGCGGACCAATTATACTCTACCGACTCGTCCCATAAGTCCCATGATTTATCCTGCTAAAAAAGTCATAAAGACAGGTGAACACAATCTTTGCATCACTGCATATAATTTAGATTTCAGAAAAAAAGCCTCCTCCCCTACACTGAGGCAGCTGCTGAACCTTCATCCTTTTTAACTGTTTTACTGAGAGCAGCCACGTGTGCAAACAGGGTCCAAAGGGAGGTAAAGTGTGTCACAAACTGACTATGTGAGTGTTGTGTTGCCTCAGTAGACCGGAGTCCAGACATAAATGTTTTGAGTATTACAAGTATTTTGAGCTTTCTGGTATTTGGTGTTGTGAAAAAGTGCAGGACACATTACCATGGTGTGTTGGTCTGAAGCGGAAGTACATTCACATTTACTAATTTCGCAGACATTGTCATCCCAATCGTCTCACATTTGAGAAACAACAAAATAGCATCAATAAAGTAAGAGATCTACAAGTGACAATAGATACTAGTAAGTGCAGCTATGGGGTCGTGATGGGGCAGTGGATAAAACGTATGCATTTGGTGTGCAAGACAGGGTTTCAACTCCCCACTGTGACACGTCCACCACTGTGTCCCTGTGCAAGACACTCAACCCCTAGTTGCTCCAGAGGTGTTCGACCTCTGACATAGAATCAGAATCGGAATACATTACTGATCCCCGAGGGGAAATTCTTCACTTGTCAAAGGTAGATAGATAAAGAATATATAAATAGTAGTAAAATAAATAAATATTAATAAATAAAGACAAATATATAGGTGTGTGGGTATGTACAATATTTACATTATTAAGACTTATTATGGTGAACCAAAAAGGACAAGTGAATAAATAGCGAATGTAGTGAATAGTGTGAATTTTTGGCGTTAATCGTGTTGTCAGCTTCTGTGTCGTTCACGTCAAGCAACATGAAAATGGATTACTTGCGTGCAGTGGTGATTTTATTCATTCTGTATGCTGTCATAAGAGAGAACTTTGCCCAAACCGGGAACAATGGAAGAAGTGTACGTCGCCATTGATTACATACTTGAGGGATTTTCTCCTTGCCCTACGGGATAAAGCCATGCCTGTGGACTTCAAACATGTATCATCAACCCCTCATAGAAAAGTCCTTTGCAGGTAAAGGAAGAAAAGCAGCTCAAGGGGGGATGTTTGTAACAGGTTGAGAAGGCAAGATTTTGCTATGCAGATGACACGCAACTCTACCGTTCCTACCAGAAAACCCCACCATCTTAGCACGGATCACGGACTGTCTCTCAGACACATCTGCATGGATGAAGGCTTGCCACCTTCAACTAAACCTAAGAATAAACTTTTGGTCATCCCAGCCATGCAATCTATCCACCATGACATCATACTACAAATTGTCTCCTCAAGCATCATCAAAGAGATATAAAGAAAAACAGTTTTCTTGAGTCAGTGGCACTGCTTATTCTGTCATTATAGAACATACTTTTGGCAGCACCAATGCTGATTGAGAAGGAGGATAGGAGCATTTGGGAGGAGCACAGTGTAGAGTACAGAGATTTTGTGGCATAACTGACCTTGAATGAGAAATATGTGTCGAGAGGAGGTATAATGGAAGCTACTACTGAGGCAAAGTGAGTAGAAGAGATGTTGTGGAGCTTGTGGCGGTGTGAGGTGTGTGGATCGGGGGGCTGAGAGCACATTCCAGATGAAAGGACTGAATCAGAAACAGGAAGTCTGCTGAACTGAATTTGTCTAAGTAAATGTTAATGTCCCAGAGGACAATTAACAGACAGCCATGCTCTGAGAGTGTCGAGCTCCTCCACAAAGTTACCCATTTGTCCTGCTGGATGTTATATGACAATAACAGAGACTTTTACCAGAGTCGATACCAATATGGCATGATATTCGAAAGAGGCATATTCATTCACAGTAGCATTTGTTGGAAATTAAGGCCCCATCCACACTACTGCGTTTTCGTTTTAAAATCTCCATCAACACCAGCGTTTTAGCCGCTTAAGTCTTAACTAAACAGGACAATAACAGGGAGTCTAAACACGAGGCGTTAGCAACAAATCAAACAGGGACCGAACTAATAACACAGAGTGGATAAGGTAGACAAGATAACAGAACAACACTGACAAACTCAACAACAGACCAAGATAATAGAACAGAACAGATTAAAACAGAATGATTATAATCAGATTAAATAATGGAACTGGCCGGGAACATAAATCGACACCTAGCAGACAGACAGAACCCAAGCACGATGGTACGGAAGCTAATAACAAGACAGCACAACATAGACAAACTCCACAAGACAAAAACAGACAGGACGAAATCACAATACAAACACACACCGAGAAGACTGGATACAAGACAACAGATAGACAGGACTGAAACCCAAAACCCAACAGACTAAATCACAGATACTGAACTGACCAAGTAACTGAAACTCACAGAGAGCTAAACTAAACAAAGCCAACAGGCAGAATGTGACAAATAGAGAGCATTCTGAAGGACTGCTTAGGCTAGGTTAGGTTATCAACACTGCAAAGACTCTAACAGCCAATGACAGCTACAGGTGATACTGGGGTCACGTGAACAAAACCAGAATATATTTTAATACTGTTGAAAAGAAATTTACATTGATAAAATATATGATTGGGGGGTATGGGGGTCCTCCCCCATAAGATCTTTGGCATTAAATGTTTTATTCCTGCATTCTGGACATTTTCTGCACCAATTTATGGTGGAAATGTCTTTATTTATATAAAAGGGAACACATTACATTTGTTATTTAACATTTATTGTTGCAAGCTATTTTTCAGAAAACTTTTAACAAATCCCTTCAAATAGCGGTGGGGACATGTTCCCAGCATCCCCAGTGTAAATGACACCTATGCAGGTGGGGAGAATAGACAGATTTTCTAACGTTTAGTGTTAATCGCCATCTAACTCAGCCAGTTAGGAGCTACATGAAGCCTGCAGCATGAAGCATGTTTTATGAATCTGGTCCCTGGAGCACAGGTTTTATCAGTTGGCAATTTTCAATGCACATTTAAGAGTGCAAGTTGCAACTATTATTAACAACAATGGAAAGCCGAGGCTTAGCAGTAGTAACAATGAACATTTGTGCAATTCTATCACCAAAACTCATTCATTACAGAATATTATTAACAGTGAGGACACAAAAAGTGGTCCACATCTTCTCAAGCACACTTATCTTCCAAAAACTTAGGTTATGTAGCATATTGTATCAGCTGAAATGCATGAGCAAACACAAGAGCTGTACATAACAATTATTTTTCAAATTGATTAATCTAGCGACTAATTTTGTGCTAAAGAAAAACAAGTTGCCTATTACTCGATTAACTCAAACATGTCTAATCAATAAATACATTTTTTATTCAATCATCCTGATGAAGCACATTAGAATAATGACAATAGCAGCATATCTTAAAATTAATCCAATTTCCACATCACTGCAGAGGATTGTTAGTATAATAAATTGCATCTAGAACTAGTTAACTAACGTTAGTGTGGAGGATCAATGAATGCGGGATACTGTGTGTGTTAGGGCTGGGGCAATCGATGTAATCGATTACATAAATACATCGACACACATTACGTGGGTTGAAGCGTTGCTGCATCCGGCGTTAGTGGGATTCCCCAGGACAAGCTCAAGCTACAACACTGCCCCTTCGACCATCTAAAGTTTGGGAGTATTTTAGACAGACACTCAACAACGTGCTGCTCCGTGAGATCTGTGAACTGGAAATAGCTTCACTGCAGCACAACTGCTGTCCACAAATATGTGATTACTTTTTGTCTCCACACAAGTATGGCACAGAATCAGTACATGGACACATAGTCCAAAGTTAAAATGTATTTACTAAGGATTTTTTGTTATTATCACATCACATGATAATAACAATAACAGTCATTTGATCAGGCTACTTTACTTTCATATGTATTTCTGCATCAGGGTGTGGCAAAGAAAACAACTGAAACGATTCACAGACTGTGCAGTCAGTCACAGATGGTCTGTAATGTTAGATTCTCGCTCATTCGCGGCCACAGCGGGTAGAAGTTACTTTTAACATGCAGGTGATGGAGAAATACTGGTGGTACAGCATATTGTGGGTTCTGTTAGGCCCTACCCCTCATATGCCTCCACATTCTCCGCACACCATTCACAATAACCCATATAACTATGGGCACATGCCAATAAGAAGGCCACAGGAATACTTTTCCCCTGGACACCCCTACAAATGGCTCTCTCTCCTGAGCTGGCTTGGTTTCCTCCCCGCATTGCACCCGAATATGTACAGTATCTCCGCTGCCATGTCTCTCGTCATGCCCTCGTTCCTGTCGGCATCTGGTTAGTACCTGTTGTTGGCCCGTATGAGGAGTGTCATGCCCTTCAGCCGCTGGTCTGATCAGCTAGCGCGGACAACCCGATTTCGCCAACTAGATCTGCGTTAATTAACGTCAGGTCTGTCATTAACAATACATTTATCCTCAATGATTTCTTCACTT